AAGAACCAGAATGGATTGAAGGCCAGCACAGAAAGGCCACTGTTCTTGCCAGGACAGGAGGTGGACTAAGTAGGGCTGGCCCATGGACCCACTGGTACACGCAAGATCTGGCACTGGGAGAGGTTCTGATGGAGGAGCCTGGGCAACTCTTCTGGCAGGACATAGTCCCTGCAGGTGAGCGCAAGAACCATGATAGGGAGCAACCCAGACCAGCAAGAGAAAGATACCCTTTCCCCCCGACGTGCATTTAGCATAGGTTGGGGGCAGAATCAGTTCAATCATCCCTGGCGAATCCGAGCACCGGAACAGAGTAAGGGTCGGCCCAGATTTGGTCGCAACACATACCAGTGCACATTACAGAATGCCAAGGTGGGATGACCCAAACCAGATGTGCCTGCAGCACCCAAGCTGCACACATGAGAATCAGGGAGGGAGGGGGCAGAGCCAGCAGGGGGAGTGTGGGCTCCCCTGCTGGACAACCACTCCCACTGGAGGACGTCAGTTGGGATGGGGGTAGACTAGACCAGCGGGGCACAACACCTGTAGGCCTCATGTGAGCTAGATCAGGAAAAAGCCAGGCTCGGCTGACTGTTCTGACTGGTGAAAGCATGAATTAGAGTGGGTGAGGGTTGGTGTGCTGCAACATAAGCTGGCAATGGCTGGCACTGGAGGCTAAATCTGTCAAGCTAAACTCCAGAACCACCTGGAGAGTGCATGGGAGTAGAAAGGGAGTGGCCTAGTAGGAAATAGTGCCTACGTCCCTCTTGGGTCACCACTCCCACTGGAGAGCATGAAAACCAGGACAGGGGTTGGGATGGCTAGACAGAAAGGCACCTGCCAATATGGGTGTGGGCTGGGTAGTAGGGCTGGTTGGGTTGAACTAGGCTTCAATGCCTACTGGCATGTATGAAAGCTGAATGGGATGTGGGACAGACTGAACAAGTCTGTAGTACATAGTGGCAAGCATGGGAACCAGGGTAGGGGGCAGGCCTGGTGGGGGTTTTGGGAGTCGCTCTGAACAGACTTCCTACTGGTTTCTGGGAGGGCTGAGTATGAAGTGGGCAGGATCAGGCTAGACTGCAACCACCACTGGTTCGTGTGGAAGACAGGGTTCGAAATAGAACTGACCCAGCAATTGCAACCACCAGCATGTGCATAAGCTGATTGGGATGACGGACTCTGCCGGACCTTATACTGGTAAGCACACACAAGAATCAGGTCTGGGATCACTTCAGACGAAGTTTCTTTGGGGATCCCTCTAACTGAACTGCTGATCTCAGAACCTCAAGCATGAAGAGACTATGTCAGCAATTCAGAACTGTTGAACTACCAAAACTGCATGAGCAGGGCTCGTGGAGCATGCCCCACATCGGGGACCTGGGATGGGTGGGAGGCTGGGTAGGGCTTCTCCCCTTTCTTTCTCCCCTTACCCCAGATGCAGAAAAAAAAAATGCTATTAGTGTGGAAACAATGGTCTTACCCACTTTCCTGTAACCCTTGACCCTTTGTGCCCTAGTCAACTATGTAAGATTATCAAAATAAAAATACATATTTAAAAAAAAAAGCATCTCTTCATTCCTAAGAATAAGGTGAATAAAATATATTTTGGCAAGTAAGGCAGCAGACTGAGAACAGAGTTTAAGTTAGTCTTACCACTCCACTACTTTTGTAAAATTTATGTCCCTTTGTTAAGGATTTACTGAAGTCCTACAACACAAGAGACTTCATGAAAACAGCAAAGGACATGACAGAGAAGATTCCCTAAATAAAGAAGCAACTGCGACAAAGCAGGTTGGTGGAACAACAGGAAGAAAACAGGAAACAAAGGCCCACGGGGCATCAAGCACTCCAATCAGCTCCAACTGGCCCTTCCCCACCACTACACTACGAAAGTACTGACTCTCCTGGCGACAGCCACACTACAGTCAAATAGGATCCGGTGTGCCACTGGCCAGTTCCCCTTTCAGAGCTTTTGGGTGGCCTAGCAGATACAGCACAGTCTGACCCTAATCTACGTCTGCAGCCTCCCCCCAGCGGCCACACTGGTGCCGAGTCCCTGACATGCAAAGTCCTTCTCACCCACAATGCCTCTGCAGGTGTCAGTCCTGCCTAGAACACAATCACTTCTCCTTTCCTCCTTGGCAGAAACTGCTACAGTCTTTCATACTTAGTTCAAACATGATTTTGACAAGAAAAATTCCTTTATTAAAGTAATAAAGTATGTCCTGGGACCAAGTGCGATGGTTCAGTGACTAAATCCTCGCCTTGCATGTTCTGGGATCTCACATAGGCATTGGTCTGTGTCCCAGCTGCTCATTTCCCTTCTAGCTCTCTGCTTGTGACCTGGGAAAGCAGTGGAAGGTGGCCCAAACCCTTGGGACCCTACATCCAATTGGGAGACCCAGAAGAAGCTTCTGGGTCCTGGCTCTGGATCAGCTCTGGCTGTTACATCCAATTGGGGGAGTGAATCAGCGGATGTAAAGATTTTTCTCTCTTTCTCTCTGTAAATCTGTGTATCTGTAAAAATAAATAAATCTTAAGAAAAAAGCTGGGAATGTTTTGTGATTTCACAGAAAAAGTCCCTCCAAAATAGTGGGGCTTGTCAAAGACACAAGGGAGCCAGACTAAAGGAGCCCAGTGGTCGAAGCTACAACAAAGTAGTAGCAAAATAATCAGTGTCTTGCATTTTAACTTGTATAATAAAGTATATCCATGGCTTCAATTTAATAATAGGAAAATTAGAGCAGAGGGACAGTCTTTCCTGACAGTTCTAACTAATAAACTGAGAAGAAAGAAAGAGAAGAATCAATGCCCAAGGCTGGGTGGGCTGTGGTGGACCAAAGCCAGGAGACGGGAACTCAGTCTGAGTCTCCCGTTTGGGTAGCACGGAGGGGAGCACCAGGCATCACCTGCCACCTCTCAGGTGTGCGTTAGCAGGAAGCTGGAAGCAGAAGCAGGACTGCAGTTCAAACCCAAGCACTGGGCATGTAGGCATTTTGTGTGTGTGTGTGTGTGCGCACACTAAAGATTTATTTGTTTTTATTGGAAAGGCAGATACACAGAGAGAGCAGATACAGAGACAAAGACCTTCCATCTGTTGCTTCACTCCTCAAGCGGTCACTACAGCCAGAGCTGAGCCGATCCAATGCCAAGAGCCAGGAGCTTCTCAGGGTCTCCCATGCGGATGCAGGCTCCCAAGGTTTTGGGCTGTCCTCAACTGCTTTCCCAGGCCACAGGCAGGGATCAGGATGGGAAGTGGAGCAGCTGGGATTAGAACCGGTGCCCATATGAGACCCTGGTGCATTCAAGGCGAGGACTTTAGCCATTAGGCTACTGTGTGGACCCAGGATGTCAGCATCTTAAACACCTGTTAATGGTGATCTCTATGTAGCATTTTAACAAGAAAGATGGCATGATGTTGGGCAGAAGTCCCAGCAGACAATACACCAACCAGCAGTCAGCCCCCTGGTAGGACACACTTGAGAGGCACAGCCCGTGTCTATGCCATCTCTGCCAAAATTGTAGGACTTATTTCAATGGTAAAAGTACATCAGGCAAACCCAAATTGAGAACATTTTATAAAATAACTGAGTAATAATCTTCAAAAGAGCTCGAGTCATGCAAGAAAAGCACACAACAACAACTACAAAAAAAAAAAAAAAGCTTTTGTTTTGGTTTTAAAGAAACAACAGCAGCAAGTCAATTGGAAGGCAGGAGTTTGGTACAGTGCTTAAGACACTGGCTGGGTTGGCTGCATCCCACACTGAGCTGTTTAGGTCCAAGGCACTGGGTTTACTCCTAAATCCAGCTTCTTGCTATCGGGCGCTCAGGGAGTAAGCAAGAACTGCTTCAAGCGCTCGGATCCCTGCTACCCACATGGGAGACTTGGGCTGAATTCTGCATCTTGGCTTTGGCTTTGCCCAGCTCTGGCTGTTGCAGGAATCTGAAGAGTGAATCACTGAATGAATAATTTCTCTCAAATAACTAGTTACTTAAAAAAAAAATAAAACCATCAAGTAAGTGATTTTACTACACCAATCTGTGAAGCCCAAAGCACTGTCGAACACAATGCCTTTTGTTTGCTCCATGACTCCAACTTGTACTGAGAACTGGTTCTCACGGATGCACCTGCAGAGGCCGGAGATGGCTGAGGGGAGGAAGTGGAGCAGGGGATTACACAGAACACACTGGAAGAGCGGAACACACACTCTAAGCAATTCCTAACATTTGGCAAAAGAAAAAAAAAGTTCACATTCTACTCAAGGATTCCATAAAAATCACTCTAAAGTGAAGAAAAAAGTAAATAGAGAGGGGGAAAGAGAGTGGGAGTGGAAGGGAGGGGAGAAATGACATTTGCCAAGGAGATTCCTTGACAATACAGCTGTTTGTGCAGATGACAGAGAGGGTGCTCATTTGGGAAAAGGGCTGAAACATGAAACTCCAACACCTTCACAACGTGTTAGTCTCATCAAACAATCCGAGCATCCCTTTATCTTCCTTTCAAAAACAATACCACCCTGATAAATTAGTCATGTCTTCAAAGAGTCAAAGTCACTTATCACTTTTCATCTTCAGTACATTTATCAAGTCTCATAGGACAACTTCACTTACAAGCATGATTTCAGCTTATTATAAGGAATGTGGGGCACACCAGATACTCCTGTAAACAAAGCAAACGAGGCTGATGGAATCTGGCGCCCTCCGGGGAGGACGACGGACAGGACGGGGTACCGGAGCCAGGCCGACCTTAATGAAAGCCTCCCCTCTCGAACTTCCTGGCTCCTAAGTCCCAAGCAAGTTCTTTGACCTCTATGAACTCTACTTATGTTACCTGCAAAGTAGTACAAACAATACTTAACTCACCAAACTGCAAAAATATTAATTTTAACGACATAAAATGCTTGGCTTGTGGCAAATCACTAAAGAAAACAAACAAAAACTAGCTCCTTTCTACCCTTCTGTATTTTCACTGTTCAAAACGTGTTCTCTTAAAGACATACCGATTGAAGTTAATGTCTGGATAGCTAGAATATTCTGATTTCATCTTAGCATTTCGCCGTGGAAAAGTGCAGAAGAAAGCATTAGCTAAAAGACTGGCAATCTGTTCCTGTGACATTGTGATGGAATGATTCATCTTCTGCTTCAGGAGTGGTATTGGCTGAGAGAGGAAACAAAAAATACAGACGAGAAGAGCAATAATTAGTTTAGCAATTTCCAAAGCAGAGGAACCAAATTGCATTTGCTAAATTAAGGCAGGAATAATTTCAGGCCACTCTTGAATCCTTAAATCAGCAATGCTGTTAGAGTCAAGGGCTGTTTATCAGGGATGATTGAAAAAATGTACTTGTTTGACAAACTGCAGATTGCTAATCAATGATAGTGAAGAGAGCATAAAACATTACTTATTTGTGAAAAACAAGATTGCTTTAGCAAGTAAATAAAAACACGTTACCCCTGAAATGAAAAATTCTAAGAAAAGATGAAACAACACAATACTGGGTTTAGCTATTATTATTTGTACTAAATTTCATCCTTCCTTATATTAAAAATTGTTGGAAAGAACAAGTTTTCCATCTTAGTCCCTAATAAAATGATCTACAGAATGTAATTCTATAAGTCTTTTCCTTTTCTATTCTGAATCACACAAACTCTTCATGAGACCCAAATCTTATTTTATTATAGTAATTAATGGAATATGTGAAAACTATAACATGTTAAAAGACTGGTGATTCCTACATAATCAAACATTACAAATCCAAGAAGATATACAAGACATTTCTCCTGCATATCTTTTTATGTCTCAAATGTCTTCTGGATGCTCTAAACTCAAATTCACTGAGCCAAGCATTGTATTTAGTGAGTTTTATTCCATTCCAATTGGTTAAAATATGTTTTATTGACCTTCTGGTACACCTAAAGACCAACCAATAGTTTACTTATTAGTGGATTAAGCTTCAAAATGCTCCATATCATGCTGAAGATGCTTTTGCGCTCCCTAAAATCCGGACCTAAGAGCCCTGTGTGTCTACACTGATGTCAGAAAGGCTGCCTAGAGACCTGCCCTCTCAGGCCAGGATAAACATCCCAACGGCCAAGGGCAAGGTTGGGAAAGACAAGTCCAACCTCAGTGCTGCAACAATGAACTTGTTCAGAGTAACAAGAAACGCACCTCGCTTCTAAAGGAAAAATTCACCAGGAAAAAAGATAAGGAAAAACATAAAAGGCAAAGAGTTTCTTTTTCCAATGGTTTCCCCTCCTCCACCCGCCTTCAGGCCTTAGCAATCACCAATTCCAAGAAAGAGGAAATAGTGCATATTGATCTCCGATTTTCATCTTAAACATTTATTTATGAGCCAGCCATGACAGGGTGCCAATGGCTTAAAGCAAACTATTACTTGATTCTGGTGAGGAGTGAGCTCTTAACGCCCATTTTTAACACGCAAACATTTCTTGTCCCCCGCATAAACAGTGTAATTTTAAATAGTGTAAATGCTTTCTGCTCTTTTGCTAAGGCGTAATTTTTGAAAAAATTGTATTTTGAGGAAAATGGAGGGTGTTCATTATACTGCAGAGTGCTGAGCCGGAAAAACTGACAGTGGTAACTGTGATCCAACGTATGCGACCTATTACCAAGCAACTCGCAAACTTCTGACCTACAGAAACTGTGCGGGCATAGTAGAGTGAGTGCGTTCCGGCAGCTGCCTGCAACACACGATATCCAGTCACAGACTTCGCTTCTGATCCAGTTCCATGTGAGTGTGCCTGGGAAGGCAGTGGAAGATGGCCCAAACGTCTGGGTTCCTGCTACGCGTGGGGAGACTGGGCGTCCAACTCCAGTCTGGTCGAACCCAAGCTCTGGGAGCCATCTGGGGAGTGAACTAGTCAAAGAAAAATCTTCCTCTTGATTCTCTAACTCTGCTTTCACATAAATAAATACATCTTAAAACAATTTTTTTTTTGCTTTAATTTGTTACATATATGGACACAGTTAAGTCATTCCACATGAAATGAAATGCTAGATGCTCTTATTTTTAAAGGTAAAGAATGTACGTTGAACTCATTTGAGATGTATTACTTTGTGAAAGATAAGGAAGCAGTGAGTGGTAACTAAGCCATTTTGAAAATAAAATATTCTAACTCCATTAATATGTTTTGAAATAACAATTACTTTTAAATCAGAATGTTTACACAAAAAGGAAAAAAAGTGTGAGCATTCAAATATCAACAGTGTAAACTGAAGCTCAGAAATTGAATGCTGCATTTTTAATGTTCTTTGGCAGCGTTTTCTTTAGCCTCTAACCTTTTCCATTATATAGCTAAATTACCATACTTGGCAAAATTTGCTCTCACTCCCTCTCTGACCCTGGCCGCAAGAGTTGGAAGAAAATTCAACTGTGAGTCTGCAGTGAGCTGCAGAGGAAGCTTACACACACCGACCTGGGTGCAGATATCTGGCAGACACAGGGCCATTTTGACCATGTCTGGTAGAATGGACTGACACAGATGCTGCGCTTCTGCTTCTTCCAGTACCTGCAAACCGAGAAAACACGTCACGTGCATAATGACCAACAAACAACACTCGGTTTGCAATACAATCATGTTTCTGCTTGTCCTGGATCCCCACAATAAGGTACATTGGCAGCACTACCCCAGGTTTGAAGTACATCAACTAGATGCATCTATACATTTTGAACTTCATGCCCAAAGGTATTAAAATTCACCTCAGTGCTCTACAGAGATTAGGCAACCCAAATAGCAAGGTTCTTTTGTGTTAACACAATTAAATCAAACTGTTACAAGGGCGTACCATACATTCTGCTATCGGTTATGTATCAACCCAACAGGTTCTGGGGACTACCAAGGACCTGTCCAGTAACAACAGCCTCTCAGTTAACGAAGTCACCTTCAGAGCACCTGCTTCCGAGTCTACTGTGTCAAATCAGACCTAGTAGACAGGAAATCGGGTTTTAGGACCCTACCAATATTCCCCATCCAGGCATCCTTGGGAAGTTAAAATTCACAACTCTCAAAATCTGAAACACAACAAAGGGGACATTCATGGTCCACTGCTTTTCTTCTATTTCCCGTAATGATAAGGCTTTAACATATCACCCTGGGCCTTTGACTCCAACTCCTCTCTAAACATCTAAAGGAACACCTGTGATTTAGATACTACATAAAACAGCATGTGTGTGTGTGTGTGTGTGTGTGTGTGTGAATAATCTTGTTATCTCAGTCACACTGTAACCAGAAGAGGTCTCAGCTGTAACCCGGTACAACCTTGCCGGTACAACAGTGAGAAGTAAACTGAGGCCAGGACATTTCCAGATCACCTGGGATGAGAAGGCCGACTACCCACTAAGTGTCGGTCGCCACTCCCCAGGCCTCCCCGCTTCCCTCTGCACCCCCTTGCTCGGAAGGGATGAACGAACCAAACGCCTGCAGATTTTGACTGTCATCAATTCGTTATCTGCAGCTCCACACGCATGTCTGTAACTAGAGAAAGCCACATAGGTCACTCCTTTTCGTTTCAGTTTGGAGGTAAACTTGAATGTGAAGAGTTCTCTTTAAATACAAGCTATGAAATCTAACTTACGCTCACCTGCCTTTTAAAATGAAGACAATGGGAAAAGTGATACTCAGAGAGATATTCGCAGCCAGGGAGTCCGGGATTTATTGAAACGTAAAGTATGTGGAAGATTAAGAGAATGCAAGAGTATTAATTCTGGGGAAAATAAAAAGTTGTATCGGAGGAGAAGCACTCACAGCCCGGATATGATGCTCATATCCCTAATGAAAACACAATACTGACACAACTGAAATATGACGACGACGGTGGGGAATGGGAAGATAGAATCAAGGGTGTTTATGTGTGTGTGGGGATGCTTCCTCTTTATAAGGAGTCTCCGTAAAAACAGATCATGGGCCAGTGTGGTAGAACAGGGGCTAAAGTCCTCACCTTGCACGCCTGGGATCACTTAAGGGTGCCGGTTCGTGTCCCAGCTGCTCCACTTCCCTTCCAGCTCCCTGTCTGTGGCCTGGGAAAACAAAGCCTTGGGACTCTGCACCTGTGGGGGGCCTCGAGGAGGCTCGGGCTCCTGGCTCCGGATCAGCTCAGCTCTGGCCATTGCGGCCACTTGGGGAGTGATCCAGCGGACAGAAGACTTTTCTGTCTCTCCTTCACTCTGTGTCTCTGCCTTTCCAATAAAAATAGATAATTCTTTTTTAAAAAAATCACACTCATATAAAGCATTCTATTTTGTAGATCCATATTGAAGACTTTCATAAAATTCAAAATTTACAAAATATGTAATATTTAAGATATCCAAAACTTTCCTATAATGCAGCATTTTGTTTTCAAAAACTTCTTTTTGAAAAAATTACAGGCTCACAGGACACTGCAAAAATCAAAGAGGTACAGTATGCCTTTCCACTCAATTTCTCTCAATACAGTTTACATAACTGTAAAATACTATTGGCTTCAGGTAGTGATACAAAGGACACCTTTCTATGCCATCTTTTTAAAAAGTATTTATTTCTTTTCATTGGAAAGGCAGATATACAGAGAAGAAAAAAGCATCCAACGGTTCACTTCCCAAGCGGCCGCACCAGAGCTAAGCTGATCCGAAGCCAGGAAGCAGGAGCTTCTTCCAGATCTCCCACATGGGTGCAGGGTCCCAAGACTTTGGGCTATCCTTGGCTGCTTTTCCAAACCACAAGAACGGAGCTAAATAGGAAATGGAGCTGCCAGAATTAGAATCGGGCCCTTATGGGATCCCAGTGTGTGCAAGGTAAGGACTTTAGCTGCTAGGCTACCGTGCTGGGCCCCTTTCTATGCCATCTTATCCCATTTTCATTTGTACAATACCCACCAAGGTAAGCACTGTTCCACGACAAGATCTCCCATTACACGCGTGTGAATATTCACAGCCACCCTCCTTCCTACACCGTTCCTCAGCCCCTAGTAGTCACTAACCTGTTATCCTCTATAATTTTAACTTTCTCTATAAAAGGAACCATAAAGTGCGCCTGTCAGTGCCCTGAATTCGTTTATGTTTTAATTTGAAATGCAGACTTTTACAGAAGGAGAGATAACGAGGAGCCCTTCTATTTGCTGGTTCACTCTCCAAACGGCAGCAATGACAGGTGCCAAGCCAAAACGAAACCAGGAGCCAGCAGCTTTTTCCTGGTCTTGAGTTCAGGAGCCCAAGGACTTGAAGTCATCCTCAGCTGCTTTCCCAGGTCATGATCAGGGAGCTGGGTCCGTGTGAAAGCAGCCAGGACGCACACTGGAGCCCATACGGGACGCCAGTGCTGCAGGCGGAGTATCAACCTGTTATGCCATGGCCCCGGCACCTCAAACTGATTTTTTAAAAAAATGTGGTATATTGTCATTGAGTCCAATTCAAGGTACTCCACACACCGATGGCTCATTCCTCTTCGTTAGTAAGCAGTCTTCCGTGTAATGAACATACTCAGTTTTAGCAATCCACTTACTGAGGGGCAACTGGTTGCTTTTGTTTTTGGCAATTGCTAAGACCACATTTTATTCTCAATCTACCTTAAACCTCTAAAATGACTTCTTGTACAACTACAGCCAAGTAACTTGGAAACATCCACCCTAAGAACCTTTTTTGTTAGCAATTCTGTGAACACACAGAGACACACACCATACACATGCCAGCACACAGGAAAGCAGTCCTAGGATCTAATCTCTTGGTACCGAAGAAATCTGGACTTGCTGCGGGTGTGGCTTAGCGGCTGCTCCAGGCACTCTAGGAAGCGGAGCCGACCGCCCTTTACTGCTGCCCACAGCTGCCAGTTCCGCTGAAGTGTGGAGACGCTGCTTTGCTGGGTCCCTTTCCTGTTTCTATTCACAGGAAGATGCCTTCAGTGTGTCCTCCCCACTCATGAGGACCGCGCTGGACAGTGCCTTCCAATTCCTGAAGACTTAAAGCAGGTGATCTCATGGAAAGGTGAAAACGCCATCACACTTACCATACCACTCTTTGTTCTTTAAGTTCCAAGATCCCTGCTTTTATTATGTTATTCATTTATTTTGCCGGAAGCAATTTTTTTTAGGATAGGTTTTTGGGGATGACAGACTTTCACTGCTCTTCGTTCGTCTGAGAACAGCGTGGTTTTCCCTGCATTCTTGGTTACTACTCTCCCTGAATACAGACTTCCGGGGTGATGGTTCTTTCGGCCCCCATGCTTCCTGAGGGGTAACCTACTGCTCTTAGCCTGGATCTGCCCCTACAGACAACACACCATTTCACTGCTGCTTTCAAGAGCTTTTCTTTGCTTTGAAATATTTATTTACTTCTTTGAGTTAGGAGGGGTGGGTAAACAGATATGTGGTGGGTGAAGGGAGAGGAAGAGAGAAGATGGGGGTGGGGAAGACTTTCCACTATCCAATTCACTCCCCATTCAGCCTCAACAGCAAGCAACGTGCCACGGCGATGCCAGGAGCCTCGTCCAGGTCTCCTGCCGCGGGTTTGCCTTCAGCATTAAGAAGCATAGATTCCTTTAGTTTATCTTATTTGACTTCACTCAGCCTCTTAAATCTGCCAATGTACATCTTTTACCAAACTTTGGAAGTGTCCAGCCACGCCTTCAAGTGTTTTGCTGCTGTTGTGGGTCCAGCTGGTTTTTTTCCTATCCTGGTATTCCAGTGACATGAATAATAAATCTTTTATCATGATCTCACAGATCTCTAAATCATTTTTGTAAGTGATTTTCTTTCTGTTGTTCAGATTAAATGTCATTATCTTTTTCAGTTTTACCAATTATTTTCTGTTCTCATTCTCCATTGAAAACATTCACTGAATTCTTAAAGAAAAATAAGGTATTATACATATTTTTTTCAGTTCTAAAACGTGCTTGGTTACCTAAAGCCTCTACTTCTTTGCTAATACTTTTTTTGTTTCATTTAATTCAATCATGTTTGTAATTGTCCATGGAAATCTTTTTGTGGTGGCTACTTGGAAATGTCACCTAATTCTAACATGCACGCTCTCTCATCTCAGTAGAGATTTTCTCTACTTTGTGCATACTGAGATCTCAGATGGCATCTGAACCTTCTCTGGGGTGGACACAGTGGCCTCGGGGCAAGGGCATGGTTACCATGGGTCAGGAGTCAAAGTGCAGGGGCCCAGGCAGCCTTTACTGGCCTGGTGGAGAAGGGGGGCGATCAGAGCAGGCTCCCCACCAGGCCTCTGCTGATGCTCCCCTGCTATCATGCCCTTCCCAGGGTCCCACAACCCCTAGCTGATCACTCCTCTCCGCCCCATCCCCAGGACTCTTGTGACTGTATTGTCCACGCTGCCAAGTGACTTTTGGGGCAAGGGAAAAGTACCTATCTGGACACTTTGAGTCAAAAGACACTTCCCGTGCAGTGTCTTCACAGACTGACAGCTTGTTCTCCTCCGGGCCTCTGTCCTGACAGATGAGCAGCTGCTGCTACCCTCCTGCGGACGAGCTTCACAGCATCACTTATTTCTCTGATAAAGCGTTACTGCCTCGCAACT